TCTGATGGATTTAGGATCTGTGAACATAGGATTTAGCCTATGGGGGGTGCTCTGATGGATTTAGGATCTGTGAACATAGGATTTAGCCTACGGGGGGGGGGGGGGGCTGTGATGGATTTACTGTTGCTGTTCTTAATTGCTCACTGGGCCCAGACACAGATCACACATGTGCACGCGCACGCACACCTTTACACTGGCTATCTGCACTCAAGCGCCAGGCATGTGTCCCACCCCCTGTGGTGTTCAAGCACAGGCCAGGGCTGAAAACCGAGTGGCACAGTGCCTGGCCCCCTGGCACAATCATGGAGTGATCACTCCTGGCCCGTCGTCCTTTTCTCACGCCGGAGCTGCCCAAGCTGCTGTCTGCAAACTGTCGTGAAAACCCGAACTGGAGAGTTCTTATGGGTGCGGCCCCGCACGTGTTTGCTGGAGAGGAGGCCTCTGGCTCCCAGCCTGCTCCGGCCGGCCAGCCGGCCGTGGGCTGGGGTTTGCCGGCCTTACGAAGGCCCACAGCCCTTCATTCCTGGGAGAGCGGTGGTTCTTGTGCGGCTGCGGCCAGATTCAGTTCTCCAGATGCCACCCTGTGGTCACGCAAGTGCCGTTTGCTGCAGATTAAGATGCCGGCGTCTGCGCATCAGCCCTACAAGATTTCTCTGGAAGAGCAGAGAAGGCATGTGCATGTGGGCCAATCAATCTCCTCTGAGATGAGCCATCGTCAAATACAGCGTCTGGACCGTGCTTCTGGCTGATGCTGGCCATCATTTGGCTCATGGCTGGTTCAGATCAAGCACCAGGGGAGGCAGCATCTCATTCCTGCCCCAGACATAAAAGCGAGAGGCCTTGCCCTGCGCAAGGGACAGGCTGGAGTGTGTCAACACAACTGCACGTGATCGGCATCGTGGTTTTGCTGTTCAAAGAGCGTAGCCAACTAAAGATGGCCAAGAATCTTGCTCAAGTAGATTTTAATTCGTTCCTTCATTTTGAGGCATTTAGTTTATTTTCACGCCTATGAATATAGGATTTAGTCCATGGAGGACATTGTTCCTATGATGGATTGCTCCCTCTTAAAATGACAGCCCAGCCCTGCGCAAACCGTCCGCTGTTTCCTTGACGTCCCACAGCAAAACCCTCCTCCTGCTTGTGTCAGGCCTTGCCCCCTTTGTCTGGGGAAACTACACCAGAGAGAGCCTGGCATGGTCCCACACATACCTTCTGTATACACCCCTGTAAAAGAAGCTGTGGCATCTCATAGACCGCAATCCCCACCTTCACCTGCCCGCTTCCCCACCTGCTGCTTCTCAGGCTGCTCAACAGACGTGGTCCGGAAGGTCTTCGAAGGCCTGCTCGGGATGCACAAGAGCTTCCCAGGCACCCCTTTGACCGGCTGCCCCGCTTCCTTGCAGCAGACGGATTTCTTGCATGCACAGACTGACTTTCTGCAAAAAGGGGCTTACAGTGCAAATGCGTCTGGTGACAAGAGAGCCATGTGGAGGAAGGAAGCCGTGTTGGGTGAGGGTCACTCCCCCCCGTGCTCAGGCCAGGAGCACCCTGCTCTGGGGCTCCCCAGGTTTCCCTCTGCAGGCCGTCTCGGCACTACGTGTCCCCTCTGGAGGCCCTTGTTCAAAGCGGGTTGCAAAGCTGTGGGCCGATTCCGCCTCCTCCAACGCCTTCAGCACCTGCCTTGCAATCTCTCAAGGATGGAGACACCCTTGGCCATTTTCCCTGATGGCATTTGGACTCTCTTGGCATGAAGTAGCTCTTTGCGGTGTGTTTCTGGCTTCCCAGGGTGTTTATCTTTTGCTCCTGAGAAAAGCACATGCCTCAAATACTGAATAAGAAATGCTGGCTTTCAAGGCAGTGCCGTGTGGCCGGGAATCCGACGAGTGCGAGCAGAAGTCTCCTCTCTGCGGGTTCACGAGACCCAGTGGCTTGGTTTGGCTCTGCTGTGGGCAGGTGGACAAAGCAGCCTCACCCTGACGGGCTTGATGCCGCTTCTCCAGGGTCCTTTGCAAGGTGCCTCACGGCATCGCTCTGTCTGCACCGGGTAGGAGTGTTTTCAGGGGCCATTGCCCCTTCACGACCTTGGTGGTGGCCCCCGGAGGTATCTCGGCCTCCTGCCGCTAAATTCCACCACCGATCTCCCACCACTGGGCTCCGGCACTGCCATTCTTGAGATCTTCCTACAGAGCAAGCGTCTCCCACTGTTCCTAGCACCAAGGAAGTGCAGCAGGCATGTGGGTTGCTGAGGCGTGGGTGCGCACGCACTGTGCTCAGGTGTGCATTTGTGTTTGGCGGCCCCCGGCCACCACGCAAGAACGGCACAAGGTGTGCGCTGCTGCTCATGGAGTCTCAGCTCTCGAGATGCTTCCAAGATCAGCGTCTTCCTTGCCCTTTCTTCACTATTTGCAGATCTTCTGCTCCAGTGCCTGTTCCCAGTGGATTGATCTGTGGACTGGGCTGGCAGGCTTACAAGACCCCCACAAGACACCCCCCCCCCAGCATTCTTCAGAAGCGCTTCGCTGCAGGTGATGTTAAATGTACCACTGCTAAGCACTGGGGTTTTGTTTAAGAGGAAGCACTGCTTGAACTTTTACTGAGAGCGCAGTGCACAGAGAGGGGGAGCTTTGCCTTTCCTTCCCAGTGTGATCCCTGCAAAAGTCCACAGCTGTCAACTGGGAAATGGCTCCCAGTGGCACCAAGGAGTCTTTCTCCATCACTAGTAGCAATCTGGAGGGTGATTTTTGTGGAATGGTGGCCAAAGAGGGGAGGGAAAAACCTTCCATCACACACAACCTCCCTTCCCCAACACCACAAAAAGCCACACATACAATTAATTCTTCAAAAGCTACAAAACGAATCTGCTTTAGAGCAAATAATTTAGCATTATGTGAGACCCTTAACCCTTCTGGACTTGGAAAAGAAGTTGCAAGAAGCGTGTGTCTCCATTCATCTTTTGTCCACGGTGACATGGATTGTATTCCAGGATTCTGAGGTTTTCCTGAATTTGCCCCTTCTAATGCTGGAAATGTTACCAGGGCACTTTTCAGCGCCTGCTTGTCGTTCTAAAAACTCTCCAGCCAAGAAAGACCATGTGGGAACAAATGCTTATGTGAGGAACAGGTGTTTCTAAAAAGAGCGAGCCATGGAAGACGATTGAGACACTGGGGTTGCCCGTGCAGAGACTGTCGCTGCCCTGGTGGGCCCGGGCGTGGCGGCTGCTCGGCATTCTCCCCGTCCCCCCCCCCCCGCCCCGGCCACCCCCCAAAGGAAGCACTCGTTCTATCATCCCCTTTCCCAAATCCGCCACTTTGCTCCTGCAGCTGTCGGCACATCATACGTCACACAGGTAAGCAGGCGCTCTCCAGGTTAGCGCTGCCAACAAGGTGGGACTCCAGATGGCTCTCGGCACTTTTCTTTCCACCACTAAGCCTCCATCTGAGCTGGCAGGGTGTCCTACACGGCAGGAGACAGTCCTCTCTTGGACAAGCTACTGGAGAGCAAACCCCCCTTCGAGGGCATCCTCTCTTTGAAGGGCTCTCTGGCCCAGACCTGGCTTAAAGAGGAAGGGTATGAAGAAGGGCGCACAGGAGCCTGGCGGATGCCCGACCCCCCCTTGCCCCCGGGCGGGGGGAGTGGTACTTTGGTGCACGCGGCTGGTGGGCTTGCGCATTTTGCGTGCTTTGCACAAGAATTGCACGGGGGGTGTGCACGAGAGCCGCGTTCTGGCCTAGTCCTCGCGCCCCGAGATGAGGTGCTCGCGTCCACTCTCACACGCCTCGCTCTCCCTGGGCGCCTGGGCAGCCTGCCCGGGGCCTCGCCGGCCTTCCCGGCTTTCCTTCAAGCCAGTGCGGGGTGGTTCTCAGAGCGCTGGCCCGGAGCTCAGAAGGTCCGGGTTCGAGCCCCATCCGCCACGACACTCACCACGTGATGAGGCAGCGCTATCCCCCTCTGCCTAAGCTACCTCACAGGGTTGTTGCTGGAATAAAACGCAGGGCAGGAGAACCCTGAAAGAGGAGACATTTGGGGAGAGGATTGTAATTCTACTATTTGTAAAGGTAGCGCTGGACGTTCGCTAAAGACGATGCGTCTCTCCCGGGCGGTGTGTGCAGGGCCTTCCCTGTGCTGGCCCCAAGCCCTGCTGAGACGCGGCGTCCTGTCCCGGAAGAGGGCGCCCCCACTCCCATTTGTGTGGGCCAGGGCTGGGTTGCTTGGCAGCAGCGGGAGGGGGCAGAGGCTTGCTCCCCTGCTCCCTTTTACCCCATCACTGCACGCATTCCCGAGCTGGGGGAAAGCTGAACAAGGCTTCTGGCAGGGCCACGCCGGGCAGCCTCTTCACTCACGGTCCAGCCCGGGAGCCCTTTGGGCTGCATCCACGCTGGCGCACACAGCGATGGGATGCTCTTGTGGTCGCGTGTTCCGGTGAGCAGGGAAGCCGCCCTCGCCCTTTGAGCCAGTGAAAAGCTGGCTCTAGAGCATGCTTGGCTGCCTGCCAGAGACCGTACGTGCCGCCCTCACTCGAGGTGGACCAGGGCGCTGAAGGCAAAGGGCCCACCTAAAGCATGCAGTTGGCTTTGGGTGGAACGGGGGGCGGGGGGGCGGACGCTGTTGGGAAGACTCTTTGGCTGAAGGCCAGCTGAGGCACTGCATTTGGGCTGCTTGTGCAAAGAAGCAGACTTCCCAAGAATGCCTCGCTCGTCCTGCTCGCTCCCAGGCTGAGCCTCCAGCCCCCCCTCCCACCCCCGAAGCCCAGAAGCGATGGGCCTTCCCCTTCGATGCCAGGGAAAAGCTTCTGGGGTATTTGCAAAATAAAAGGAAGGCAGGCTCTGGAAGGTTCCTTTCCTTTATTAGCAGGTCTGGGGGCGGACGGCCCCATTTGGCCCAAGCACAGGGGGGCTTAGAAGCTGGGGTGAGGGCGGGGCGGGTGACCGTGCGGAGAAGGCGTGGGTGGCTTCTTCAGCGGGAAGAGCGCAGAACTCGGCACTTCAAGAGGCTCGGGAGACCTACAGGTTGAGATCTCCACAAATGGAAATGCCCAGAATACCAAGGATGCCTGCCTTCACGCAGCCGCCGGCGTGCACTGCCCCTGGAGAAGACACCGGAAAGCCAATGGGTTACTCTGAGGGAGGGAGGGCAGGAGGAAAGATGGATGGACGGAAGGACGGAAGGAAACCAGAACATCCTCTGCACTCAGGCCTTCTCCCATCAGCCATTCTTCTGAGTCTCTTGCCCCTTTCTGATTTTGTCGGAAGTAAGGATCAGCTGGACCCTGCTGGATTTGTTCTGGATTGTTTGGTGCGCACCGGATCAGGTGTGTCAAAATATCTTGGCACTGGATAGAGCAACTGGGTCAATGACAGCCAAATGTTTTGTCATGAGGAAGAAAACGGCCAGAGGTTTTCTTTGAAAAGGTTGGCTCCATGCCAAGAGGCAGCCTAATTATCCCAGCTATGGATGAGTTCGTTCTTGTTTCTGATGTACTAAGAAGCCAGAGAGTGGACTGACATGTTGTCAATTTGCAGAAGGAAGCTGAGCTGGCCAGCCTGGTAGACTTCTTGGAAGACCCCTCCCAGAGGACCGCCCCTCCCTTCCTCCCTCCTGTCCAGGTCTAGGCCCATTGGCTTTGCTGCCTGCATTCATAAACTCCATTGGCTTCGATGGGTGATTGAGCAGCCGTCAGCTCCTTTAAACGGGGTGATTTCTTATGGGCACCAACTGGGGATCGGCAGTACAGTCCTATTCATGTCTCCTCAGACCTTCGTCCCATTGAGGCCACCTAAATACAGCACTGCAGCCCGTAGGCAGGTCCCGATGCCCCAAAATGGCCCTTACCAGCGTCAGGGTTGGCTGCACCCATAGCGCCATGTTCGGGAACCAGTCCAGAGCATCTGTCAAGCCAGCCTAGCCCAATCTTTCTGTCGCTCGCGCAACCTCTCCGCATTCGAGGAGCACTCGGTTCCCAGAAGCAGCATTTGGCGGGACAGTGGATACTCACCCTCAACTCTCTCGACTTCGTACACGGGCACGTCTCTGCAGAGGCTCTCAATAGCGCTGCCGAACACAAACCACTCCCGGATCCTTCCGAAGAAAGAGCTGGGGGTGTACTTCACCCACACTTTTCTGGGGGACATCATCTTGTTCATCATCTAGAAGGAGAACATCCGGAGAAAGTAACCCTCCCCAGGGGCAGCTTGGTTCATCTGTGGCAGATGTCTCATGGCCCCACCTTGGATAGACTGGGCTCCCGTCCACAGAAGCTCATGGCATGACAACCTTGGGGGCCTCTTTGGCAGCTTTCCTCACAGGTCCCCGCCAATGTTGTGTGTGATTGTGCAATGGATTTTTTAACACTTGGTGTTAGGAAGCACACGGATTTGGGCCTTGGATCTGGAAACCCGCATCAGGCCAGCTGCCATTAGCAACTTTCGGACCTGGTTCCTGATTCCTGCTCAGTCCAGTGAGTCAAAACCATTCCATAGACGGCCATCTCCTCTCTCCAGGGAATCCTGGGAAGGATTGTTCTATGAGGAAGGAACCCAGCTCTCTAACAACTGACAAGTTCTGGGGCTGCCTAGACCAGCGGTCGGCAACCCGCGGCTCCGGAGCTGCACGCGGCTCGTGAGCCCCCGCTGCGGCTCCGTCGCTCAAAGGGCGCGCCGGCACAGCCGCCGGTCTGCTCCAGGCTCCACTCGGGAAGGCAGCTGGTTAAGTAAGTCTGCATTCCTCCACTGAACAAGCTTCCTGCATGTTACAACCAAGCCAAACGTTTAATGGCATGTGGGTAGATCCATTTGCTTTTACTGCTGACGAACTTACGGGGTTTGCTGTTTAATGCATGCAGCCCTTTAGCAGTGACTTTGACTCTGCAGGAAGCTGTTCTCCTATTCAAAACATATGAAAGGAGTCCTACTAGTTTATAATGTAAGATTAAAAATAACCCTTTTTAGTGACTGAACAAGAGCTGCAGCGAACTCATAATGCAGAGACACACAGCATTAAGGTAAAAGGCGATATACGCAGTCCTGTCTTCACTGCAGGTGTCAAGAGGGGTTTGCGGCTCCCGGTGCTTTCTTTTGTGTGGGTCCCAAGGGCTCTTTGAGTGCTGAAGGTTGCCGGCCCCTGGCCTAGGCGAAGCCCTGAGAGTTGAGAAACCCCATACAAATGTATATTGCAGAACAGTCCAAATGCCTGGAATGACCTGCACGTTACCTGTTTCTCAAAAGCTAAACGTCCAATTTCTTCCAGCTCTGGGATGAACCCCCTTGGCATCTTCAGAACAAAGCAAGCTCGTCGGGAAAACAGCCGAGTGGCGATGTACCCCTGGAATTCACGGAGTGGGTGAATACCCCACAATGTCAGGAAAACTGAGCCTTCCGCTGCTAACTGGGGATCCAGGGGAATTCTTTGGGGTGGAGGCTGCCTTCCACGCCATTTTTCTGGGCACAAAGGTGGGGAACAGGCCAAATAAATAATAGATATGAAGCCCAAGGAGCGGAGCGCTACCCTTGTGCAGCTGCTGGGGAGGCCCGGTTGAACCTCACATGCTTTACAAGAGGTTTAGTTTAATTTAAATATCATCACCTTGATGCACCTTCGTTTGAGCAGTTCATCCATAGCAGTGCTGAATAATAAAATACCAGCAACGGTGCACGTAATGGAAGCCACATTTGTGAGCCACCGTTATGCAAATAAAATAAAAATATTTTCTGTAAAAATACACAGAAATCTGGCTGTAGGATACTGGGAGTTGTGGGAATTATTTATTTATTTATATTTAGTACAGAGCCCAGATCTCCTGTGTTCCAGCCCCGCACTCTAACCACTAGTCCACTCTATCTCTTTTCTGTCTTAACAAGCATAGGGGAATAAGTGAGCACCTGGAGTCCTATTTTTCTTGGTAGACAGGCAGGCTCCAAAGCAGACCAAATAAAAGCTGCTGAGAAGAATGGCTCAGCCTAAAATTCAGGTTACTGCCTCTGGTGATGGTGTTGTGGCCTGCCTGAGTTGCGAATATCACGCGTTAAATGGTTCTGCCTGGGCCTTTTTCCACAGTGGACTCCAGAGGGGTGTGGACTGCACATGCAAAGAAATGTGTTGTGTAGAAAGGAGAATTCACACTTACATGTCGGTAGTCAAAAATTGTGTCGGAAGAACAGAGCCCTCCATATACGTGGATATTGGCTATTTGATTTTCATTATCTATGGAGACGGTTTGCTGGACGTAGTCATTATTGTTGCTTGGAATGCTGTAAACCTGCATTTAAAGAGGACAACATTTTTGCTTTCATTTCTTGTTTCTGAGAGTCGAAAAACATTGCACAAAACAGCCGTTGCTTTGGTTTGTTAGTCTCACAAAGTTACACTTTGCTTTATCTTTCCCCTAGACCCAAATGGCTCAGAATAAATAACTGAAAATACATTAAGCAGAAACAGTAAAACAAAGTACACAAGAGCAGAACAGAAATAACCAAATGATCAAATACACAAAAAGAGGTAGCATAGAAATGAAACAACCTCATCATCATCATCACTATTATTCAGAATAAAGCTGATTAGGAGGCACGTCCTGTTACCCCCACTTTCTCAAACCCTAAAGTACTGGCTGACCAAGGAACATGCGGAATGAAAACCGAGCAAGAAAGACCGTGTGCCGACTCCCCGGCCGCCCGCCCAGCAGCCAGGCGCCTTTTGGATCTGATTTCTCTAGAGTACGTGTCACCTCGCTTCCCCCAGTCCGGCCCTCACAACCGTTGCACAATATTTTGGGGCTTCCACAGCATCCTTCAGATCCTCTGAAAGTGACAGTCACGAACATATTGCTGTGATGGTTCAGAGCAAGAGGTGAAATGAGAGCCCAACAAACCGGTACGGCCTCATTGCTCATCTGAGTTACTGCCACGCTGAAGCCAAGAGCTGATTGCTTACCTCGAAGGTGGCAAAAGCCGGGCTCCAGAGGAATCCCACAAGCAAGGTTATTGCAGCCTGGAAAAGAAAAGAGGAGTCACTGTTGTTCTTGAGGAGCCAGAGTGGCACGTTGAGCCTACAGAGTTGCCAGGGGGAGCTTGCATGTTTAGCTCGCCAAGTGGGGGCGCCTTATCTGCCCCCGGAGGTCCTGGCCCCATGGGCGGATGAGCTGCCGCTCTTTCAGAGAGACCGAGCAACCAGCTTTGGGATGGTGCTTCGCCGCACTAGCATTAGGAGGGAAAAACAACAGGGCATTTCTGGATGCCACCGTCAAGCCGAGCAGAGCAACCCAGAGGGTGCCCAGCCAGCCAGCCAGCCAGCCTGGCTGCACTCCTTGGGATGGAGGTGGGGAACACATTCCATGTGGTTCCTTGCCACCCAGAATAGACTGTGGGACGTCTACCTGCAGCCTGGTGGGAAAGGGAGGGCTGCATCCTGCCCTGGAGTTTTGCATTGGTCCCTCCTCCAGATTGTCTTTGCTGCTCAGCTTGAGCATTGCCGGCTGACTATTATGGGTTGCAGCCCTGGTTTTGGAGAAACTCCCAAGCAAAAGGAAGGTCAGGCCCACAGTTCCTGCCAGGATCACCATGCCAGGAGATAATGCCAAACTTCAAGTCGGAGCACTTTTGCGATTTCGTTTTGGTTTAGCATCCTGTATGGAAATGGACTCCGCTCCCTTGGTAGGATGGCACCCCAAAGGTAACACTGGGCTCCTCGGGTGCCACTTTTTGATTTCAGGGAGGCTCACGGAACAGAACATGCTGGTGGACACCCCCCGCCCCACCCTGCCAAAGACTGGAGATCCGTTGCTGTTTGGATTATAGGGCACAAGAACCAACATGTTGTGGGTGTTGGTTCTTGTGTCCTATACATGCACATGGTGGGCATGTCGTGAGCGGAGCCGGCCGGAGCCGGGGGTCAGACTAGATGGCCCGGGAGGCCCCTTCCGACTCGCTCTGTTTCTCTGGATCATCCCTTGGATCAGACGTGCTTCTTGTCCTCAAAATCAGACCCTGACTTCACAGAAACAGTTAATCCAAACCGCACGCCCTTGCCGAGGAGACCTGCCAACGTCTCGCGGGAGACCTGCGCTCAGGAACGAAGACTCCCTTCCAGTCACTTCCTGAGCTATTTGCACGGACACGCCGGATTCATCGCCACCTCGGCCTCCTTCGCCCGGCACCCACCGTCGCGTCTAAATATACCAGGTCTGCCAAGAAGACGGTGCCGAAAATACTCACAAGTCTGTTCATTTTTCTTTCAGATAAGAGGAGGAGGCGGAGGAGCAAATGGAATAAAATTCCGGAGACTTCAGACTTTTATATCTGGCCTGTCGGTGTGGGGAACATTTCACAGAAATACACCCCGGGCACCTGGGGCCTCCATATCTAGGGGACACACCAAGGCACACAAGGCTTATCTGAGCTTGGGCCGAGTTGATAACCAGCCCCAGATATTCCTGAGCATGTTTGCCAGTCATGACAAATTCCAAACTGGAAACTGGGCAAATATTAGTTGGCCCTTAGGCGGAAGCTCGTGCACGCTGCTGTCCTCCAGCCTCCCTGACGCCCTCCGGTTCCGTGTGTTGCTGGCAGAGAGGGCTGAAGGGGATCTGGGGAAAAGTCTCCAGCAAGCTCTGGGCCATCGCTCAGTAGGAATAGGGTAGGGTCAAGGGGGCCGGGGACAGTGAGTGCTGTGGGCCCGTTCCCCACCCCGACCCCAGTGTGGCATAGCGGTGAGAGGGCTGGGCCATGGATCTGGGAGCTGCCGGTCCCAGTCCCCGCTTGGCCCTGGGGCCCACTGGGTGACTTTGGGCCAGTCACTCACTCTCAGCCCAGCCTGCCTCACAGGGTTGTTGTTGTGGGGAGAAGATTGAGAGGAGGAGGAGAATGATGTGGCCTCCTTGAGCTCCTTGAAAGGAAAAAAGGTGGGATAAACATATAACAAGCACATTAATGAATAAAATAGACTCTGGACTCAAGTGGCCAAGTGCCAAACCTTTTCTGTGTTCACAGTGGCCAGCAGTGACAGCTCTTTGGACGCTGGTGAGCAGACTAGATTCAAGAAGCCACAACAAAGGGATCCAGCACTCTTTCTGCGCAAAACCGATTCCTCGCACATCCCCAGCCTTGTCATCCACGCTCAGGGAAGGGAAGGCAGCCCAGGACTTGGAGTTCCCCTGAAAACTCAGAAGATGCTGCTGCACACGCGGCTTCCACTTTGCATCATCTTTAAGTAACAAGCAGCAGGCAACTAAGATGCCATTTGTCCTGGAAACTGCCCTTGTGGGAAAATGTCCATGCCAAATTGCGACCTCACATCCTGCCGCAATCTTTTTTCCCCCGGATTTCTTTTCAGCTGGAGCGTCTGTCCGTTTATCCCGGGGGCTTGTGTGGTCCTGGGTGTCCATCACTTCCCCAGGAGCGGTTGACTGAGAGGCGCTTGCTTGGAAAGTCCCTCAGCCTGCACTTTTCAACTAGCACCGTCGTTCTCCAGTATTTGCACTTCCCCAAATTTTGCAAAGGAGTTCTTCAATGAAAAAAAATGCAAAGTGCATATCCTGGGGAAGTGCTCACCAAGCAAACATTGGAGGAAAAATAATGCTTTTAAATGACTTTGATGGGGAAAGCACCTGCAGAAAGTGAGCGCCAGGCAGGAGTAGGAGAAACTACATGCATGAGTGTTTTGTGTGCGCGTTAAGCAAAGGGTCAGAGTTTGGGATGAACTAAACTCAGGGTTGAAAAACGAGGAAAGCGTTCTTTTGTGTGCAGTAGGTTCCCTGCATGGCCTGTGGGACTCAGGAGTGGACAGCAGTCCGACAGAGCCGTGTGCACAGGGCCCGGCCATGCCCCCTGCCTGAGCGAGGCACTGTTTCGCTGCCGCCTCGGGCAGCCAGCGCCTCTTACCCCCACATGCCTGCCTGCCTGCCTGCCTCCGGGCACACGGTGCCGCCAGCCCTCCATTCTCGCACACATGCGACCTTCAGAGCGAATGCACAGAGGAGACTGCAGGTCTGACTGGAAGTGGTCTTTCAGGGCTTCTTCCTCCCTGCTTTGGTGGGAAGGTGCTGCTTTCAGCCCGTCTGGCAAGGGAGGCTTGCAAATCGCTTGCCGAAGGCCCGGCAGGACAGCTGCACCCACGGACTGTGGGTTGCCCGCCTCTGGCTCAGCAAATGGACTTCAACCGATTTGTCCAGGTTTAATTTGCACGCCCATTAAAATCAGATGATTTCCTAAGGAAACCCTTTACACTGGAACTGAAATTGCAGGATACAGTTAAAATAAAGACACCCAGTCTTGAGCAATGCAGGTGTTGAAGCAGTATTTGGTATTTCACGCACCACCACTGCTAACAGAGCTCTGTTTGTTTTGTGGGACAGATCCCTGCCTCAATCAATCATTTTTTGAAACGACACCACCTACCTGTGTCTTCAGTGTGATTGAATGTTATCAAAAATATACAGAATATATCTCCTATTGACTGCACCTGGTTTATCTTTAGGGTGTCACCCCGTTCCCTTGCCGGGTAGGTACATGTCCCAGTTTTAAGGAGCACAATCCCAATGCGATAAGGGACCGTATCTCTGCAGCCCGTCCACACCTATGCTTGGGATACCCGTATATATAAAGTGGAAGTGTTCACATGTGTCTGGTCTTGCATTCTGTCTGGCAACAAAATGAAGCTGATTGTGAGTATAGACTTCTTTAATTTTCTCCTCCAAAAACCCCAGAGCATCTTAAACCAGCTGGATGATCTTTCTAGTCATTTCCAGATGTCCCTTAACGCTTCCCCTCTCGGATGCCGTGTGCACAGACCGAGGAACGGGGCTGGGAGAGGGTCCCATGGCTCGGTAGGATTGCTTCACCCAGTTTAAAACTGACTTCATAAAGAGCCGTGAGAAATGCCGTTTTGTGCAGGTGCTGATGTGACCGAGTCGTAGCTCAGGGAACCATGGTTAAGAACCAGGGTGCTTCCAGACAGCGGGCTGTGAATGCTCTCAGCCAAACCGTGGGGCAGCTGTTCTGTTTTCCACCCTTTGCAAGGTTTTGATCTGATTGCTTTGCCCCAAGAAAAAGGGGAAAGATGTGGCCGGAAACACAACGTGCCGACAGGAGGCGGCCCCTGTCAAATCCCGCTCATGAGCCAGAGTGACGGCACGGCCTCATCTGGAAGACCCCTGGGACATGGCACTTGGGAACGGGTTCCACTGGTCCTGGGGAGTCGAGGCTGATATATGGCTGGCAAGGCCAGGTTGTCTCTTCTGTCGCTCACCGCGATCATGCAAGGGGCTTGCTCAGGTTCAGAAGATGCCATCTGAAAAGGTGCATATGAGGAGAGAGACAGGATTATGAACAAGCGGTTGATGTTATCAGTCTGAACGTCTGAACTTGAATTTATTCATCATGATGTTTGTACTTTCTCTCTCCCTCTTGCAACATGACCAAGGTAGCTTACACAATCTTCTTCTCTAACTGCACAACAACCCTGCAAGGTAGCTAGAGTGAGAGTCAGTGACTGGCCCAAAGTCCCCCACTGTGCTTCATGGCCCAGTGGGGAGGACCCGGGTCTCCGATATGGCAGAGTCCTGACCACATGCTGTTAGACTGTTGTTCTCAGAGTGATGTTTGACTGAGAAAAAACTTTCTGTTGAGGCTGTTTTGCAGAGCTTGTCTCCATAATTTGATAACTCACGTGGCCAAATGTCCCAGATGAGCGCCCACCGTCTCCGCAGGGAGTAGCGGTGCACTGCAGCCCCCCGGTCACAAACGCCAAGTGCACCGGCCTTGTGCTTGCACGCAGTTCTTGCGAAAATAATCCTTTCGTTTCTATACTGCCCAGTAGCCATGGCTCTCTGGGTGCTGAACCAAACTTAAAAACACAGAAACAAGAAAGTGAAAAAAAGCAACAGCAGGGAATAAAGACACAGGAATTGCAACCAAATCAGCACAGAGGTATAAAAATGGTACTGGATAAAATGCAATATTAAAACTAAAGATTAAAAGTTGAGCTGTTAAAATACAAGGCAAATCAAAAGGTTTGCACCTGGCACTAAAAAGAATATAGAGTAGAAGCCAGGTGTACCTCTTTGGGCAACTCATTCCAAAGCCAGGGTGCCACAACCGAAAAGGCCCTGCACTTGGTAGCCACCCTCCTCACTTCCTTTGCCAGGGGCTCCCGGAGAAAGGCCTCCAAAGAGGACCTTTGGGTTCAGGTGGGTACACGTGGGGTGATGAGGTATTTCCCAGTTGCAATGTATGGCTGGGAAAGCTGGACCAATAAGGAGGGCTGAGCACCGAAGAACTGAAGCCTTTGAATGGTGGTGCTGGAGGGTTCTTCTGCGAGTCCCTTGGACCGCAAGGCGATCAAACCGGTCAGTCCTAGAGGAGATCAACCCTGACTGCTCTTCAGAAGGCCAGACAGTGAAGCTGAAACTCAAATACTTTGGCCACCTAATGAGAAGGAAGGACTCCCTGGAGAAGAGCCTAATGCTGGGAACAATAGATGGCAAAAGAAGGAGGGGATGGCAGAGGATGAGGTGGCTGGATGGAGTCACTGGGGCAGTGGGTGTGAGCTTGGGTGGACTCCAGGGGAAGGTGGAGGGCAGGAAGGCCTGGAGGAGTGTTGTCCATGGGGTCATGATGGGTCAGACACGACTTCGCGACTAACAACAACAACAACAACCTGGCCCCAAACCTTTTAGAGCTTTGAATGTTACTACCAGAGCTTTGAATCGGCCAGGAATTAGCAGCCAGTGCAGTTGGAAGAGGACTGGTATAATACGTTCATTAGCCTGTCCCCATTAATAGTCTCGCTGCCCCATTGCCTCCGAACTGTTTTCAAAAGCAGCCCCACGGAAGGGGCATTGCAATGCGACCGGGTGCTCTGATTGCTAAGGGCCAAGATGCTGTGAGCTCCGGGCTGGACATTTTCCTTAGGGAACCCCAGGAAAAGCCTCTCAGTTGCCCCACCTCATTCAGGGGAATTGACGGAGATTTCAGATGTTCCTCACTTCCTTCTGCAACTTTCCTGTGTTCTTCCACAGCTTTTTTGATATCAGAGAAAATCTGTTTAGGGGGCGAAGATCGAATCACTCCGTCGTGTCATTGGATTAACAGTGCCAGGGGCAACCTTAATCCATCATGTATGAATAAACCGATAGTCCTTTCATCAAATGAAAAAGTGTTATAATAAGCATTCTGGATGTCAACATTTGAAATTTGCTGCCTACGTGCAAATTGGAAATTGAGCCATTTCCTGCTCCACCCCTTGCCGCGAATAATTTGGAAGAGTACGTCCCACCACGTGCCTATTGGATCCTTGCCCGTCTTGGTTAATAAATAACTCCAAGCACGGGATTGGGACCTGGATTTTGGAAGTGGTTAACGCTTCTCTGAGGGAGGGTCGAGTGCCTGCCCCTTTAAAGGAGGCGGTAATACGACCGGTCCTGAAGAAAGCGTCACTGGATCCAGAGATGGCCACTAACTATAGACCTGTGGCCAACATCCCGTTTCTGGGCAAGGTGCTGGAGCGAGTGGTGGCGGGACAACTCCAAGCACTCTTGGAGGAAACTGATTATCTGGATCCTTTTCAGTCCGGCTTCAGACCCGGGTACAGTACTGAATCTGCCTTGGTCGCCCTGTACGACGACCTGTGCAGGGAGAAGGACAGGGGGAGTACATCCCTGTTGGTTCTTCTGGACCTCTCGGCGGCTTTCGATACCATCGACCATGGTATCCTTCTGGATAGACTTGCGGGATTGGGGGTTGGAGGCACTGCTTTGCAGTGGTTCCGCTCCTATCTCGACGGTCGATTCCAGAAGGTAGTGCTGGGGGACCATGTCTCTACGTCATGGCAGCTATGCCATGGGGTACCACAGGGCTCCATTCTATCCCCTCTGCTATTTAACATCTATATGAAACCGCTGGGAGAGGTCATCAGGAGGTGTGGGCTGCGGAATCATCAATACGCTGATGATACCCAGCTTTACCTCTCATTCTCCACTAATCCAGGTGAGGCAGTGGCTGTGCTGAACCGGTGCTTGGCCGAGGTAAGGGAATGGATGAGGGCCAATAAACTGAAACTCAACCCAGACAAGACGGAGGTCCTGTTGGTTGGCGGATCGGGTTTCGGAGAGGGTGGATTTGACCTGGTCCTGAATGGTGCAACACTCCCTCTTAGGGATAAGGTCCGCAGCTTAGGTGTACTCCTCGACCCGGAGCTTTCTTTGGAAGCTCAGGTGACAGCGGTAGCGAGGAACGCCTTCCTTCAGCTTCGGCTGATTAATCAGCTGCGCCCCTACCTGGAATACGACTGCCTGGCGACGGTGACACACGCGCTGGTGACTTCCCGCCTAGACTTCTGTAACGCGCTTTACGTGGGGCTTCCCCTGAAGACAGTCCGAACACTTCAATTGGTGCAAAATAGAGCTGCCAGGTTGCTGACGGGGACGGGGCGTTATGCTCACATGACTCCAGTCCTCCATCAGCTTCACTGGCTTCCCATTGAAGCCCGGGCCCAATTCAAGGTGTTGATTATGACCTACAAAGCCCTAAACGGCTTGGGTCCTGGCTACCTGAACGAGCGCTTACGTCCGTATATGCCCGACCGCCCTTTGAGATCTGCGGGAGAGTCCCTTCTCCGGGAACCCTCCATGAAAGAAATTAGGAGAGTAAGTACCCGGAGGAGGGCTTTCTCTGCGGTGGCGCCCAACCTATGGAATTCACTCCCCAAAGAGGTCCGCCTGGCACCGTCGTTACTGGTTTTTCGGCGCCAGGTAAAGACCTTTTTATTTAAACATCATTTCAATTGTTAAAACATATGATCTGGCCTGGGCAACTTCTTCTTCCTTCTCTTTCTCCTCCTATACTTTTATTTTATACTGATAATTTTAATTTTGTATTTGTAAATCAATGTATTTTTTGTATGTTATATTTAATGGTAATTTATTATGTACTATTGTATTTCAATGTATTTTATCATGTTGTAAGCCGCCCCGAGGTTTCGGCAAGGGGCGGCATAGAAATGTTATAATAATAATAATAATAATTTCATATGTGACCAATTTACAAGTCCGTTCCTAATTTTCATAAATTAAAAACCAGCCTTGGTTTAACAAGATCGGTTTCATGCTAACATGCTTTTGAACTCCGTTTCAGATCCTGGGCGTTGCATTGCTGGCCTCGGTCTTGGCTACTGATGTAAGTACAAGGGGAATTGTACACATTTTGATGTGTTTTCCTTTGGTTTTGGTTTGGAAACTTGCCATTGGAAGGGCCTTCAGACTCCTTTCATGCAATATGCAGATCTTAATACAGGAGGTTATATTATTGTGGTTATGTATTGTCAAGGCACCTCCAATGTGTGGTGACCCTGTGAACAAAATTGCCCCTGCATCCGTGTTCAGCAATTCTAAGTTCAAGACCGTGGCTTCCCCGATGAAGTCGGCCACCTCCTCGCTGGTCTTCCTCCTCTTCGACTAGTTTCTGTTGGCCCAGGGTATTCACGAAGCTCTTCTCCAGCACCATCTGGTGTCCTGAGTCGAGTTCTGGGCTCCACATTAGAGGAGAGGCACAGCTGGGTCGGAATCGGTTCAGCGCAGGGACACAAGGATGCTCGCCGGGTTGGGAAGGGCGCCATATGAGTCGAGACTGAGGGAACGGGGGCTTCTCAGCCTGGAGAAGGGGAGACTCCCAGGGGCTCTTTTAGCGACCTATAGGCACATGAGAGGATGTCATGTGGAGGGGGGCCTGGACCTGTTCTCTCCTGCAGCTTCAGGTTGGGTGTCAGGAAGTACTTCCCAATGGTTAGGACCCCTAGGAGATGGAATGGGCTTCCGAGGGAGGTGCTGGATGCCCCATCAGGGAAGGCATTCAAGGAAAGATTGGACAACAACCAGGTTGGGGATTGCATGAGCAAAGTCAGCTTCAGCTGGGGTCAGACTAGATGGCCTGGGAGGCCCCTTCTGGCTCGCTCTGTTTCTGTGTTTTGAATGCATCCATTTTCTTCCTCTTAGCTTTCTTCACTGTCCATCTTTCATGCACCCACATTACATTTATATCACACCTTTCTTCCTCTTACAAGGAGCCCCAAGGGGCTCCATTTTATCCTCACAACAACAACCCTGTGAGGTAGGCTGGGCTGAGAGTCTGGGACTGGCCCGAAGCCACTTAGCCAGCTCCCTGGCTGAGCAGGGACCAGGATCCAGAGCTCTCAGTCCCCAGTCCAGCACATGCACCACCAGCGTGGAATCCCACACGATGAGGCGACTCACGAGAGGCAGGAAAAGGAGGCAGAAGCGTGTGAAGCGCCAGCAGCCGCGTGCCTGGTCCTCCGCTCCTCACTGCCTTCTGCTCGCAAACGCCCTCCTTGGCTTAAACCGCCACATCCAGGCTCTGGGATGGGCATATTCAGCTATGTGTGTATTTAATGGATGCTTAAACTGTCGTTAAGGAAAGGATGCACCGTTACAAAGTGACTGGGAAAGGGTTATTCCAGCCTTCCTCCGCCAGCACGCTCACTTCTGTTTTGTGTTTTTAAGAAGAAATGCTTGTAGTATTTAAAAACCTGCTCCTTGAGAGATCTGGATTGCTTAAGCCTGGCCTTCCCGCTGATACTTGTTCCTGCCTTTTCCACCCAAGAATATCAGTGAAAATAACCAGGGAAATGTTGGCGGACACTCCCACCAGTCTGTGAACATCGACCAAAATAAGAAGGTGGTGAACGTTGACAACAACAATGGTTGGCACTCCTGGAACACCGTCTGGGATTACCGCACCGTAAGGAAATTTTCTGTCCTTCCTTCCTTCCTTCCTTCCTTCCTTCCTTCCTTCCTTCCTTCCTTCCTTCCTTCAGCAACAGGAATCCTCTCTCTTTACCTGTCCCACCGGTATCCCTTGCACTGCATCCTCCCAAATTCTGCTTTCATTTGAATGCAGGGACTTTAGGCATACATTTCAAATGCATGCAAGTTGTCCTGAACATGGTAAAATAAGAAAAGAAACACCTTTAATTACATTTCGGGGAAGGTCCCCTAATTCGTGCTTGATGCTTTAAAGCCCCAGCCTGGAGGACGATGAGCATCCACTGCAGCTTGGGGGCATAACGGAAGCGATCCCCCTCTTGCTCTGCCCTTCAGCTAGACCAGCGGTCGGCAACCCGCGGCTCTGGAGCCACACGTGGCTCTTGAGTCCCTCTGCTGCGGCTCTGTGCCGGCACAGCCACCCGGTCTGCGACCGAGGCTCCGAGTTACAAAATACCTTACAAAATACCGATAGGTGATGGTGAGGCATCCACTCAGGAACGCCGTGCTAGCGGGTTAAGTAAATCCCTGCATCCCCCTGCTATCGTGCAGGGAAGGAGCGGAACAAGCTTCCTGCAGGCTCTCCTGCAAAGCGGTTGTTAGCCACCATGCTCGAAGTGAAAGGCCCGGGGCTGCAGGCCCAGTGACGCCCGGCCGGCTGGTTCTCTTTTGCTCGGACAGGGCTATGTGGCGATGAGGATACTGTCCAAGAAAAGATGCGTCGTTACCAAGATGAATCCAAGGGTCATGCCGGACATCACAGTCCTTCCACAAGCTATCAGAGAGAAGCAGGTAAGGCCAAGAGGGCCCCGGTGCGCTTTGCTGGCCACTGATGGGCTTTGTTCTGGGTTAAGCGAAGCGACCTGGAAGGGTTTGGACGCCGGGGATGCGAAGCACTGGGGGCGCCTTTGAGATGCCTGCAACATTCAGTCGCTGAGCTTCCTGCAGCAGCACCCCGTTCGTTCCACCGGTCCTGTTGTCCGTCGTGGACCTGCAGGGAGTCCGACGGGCCCATGGCAGCAAACCGCTTTGCACGGGGCTGGCCGTGGTGCCTTTGCATTGTCTCTCACTTGGAGCTCCTGTTCTGATGTCTCCTTATGTTTAGAAAGATCTTACCAAGGCACCCGCCCGCAAAGAAGTCACTTACATGATTTCCCCCAAGCGGATTGCCGACCTGACCCCCTACGGGAAGAATATCGACGCCTTGTGCAGAGGGATCCCAACCTACGCTGCCGAAGAAGTTCACAGTGAGTAACGCTTTTGCAGCTTTTCCTGGATCAGGAGGTGTTTGCAGAACGTCTCTGCGTCACGGGCCCCGTGTTTCTGCCTGCCGCCTGTCTCAGGCGCAGAACATTCCGCCGGGGAGGAGCATGTTAAATGCATGATGACATAGTCTTGCAGTTCATTAATTAGGTCTCTAGCATACACTGGATCCAGATCTAGCCACCCTAAGAAAAGGCCCACTGAAATCAGTGGGGCAGGTTAACACATTGATTTCAACAAGCCCAAGAGCCTTACAGTCAACCCTGCATAGCTAACAAGATTTATAAAGACCTGCAACAAAGGCAACCCAACGTGATATATGGGAATGAATTAACCCAGGGATTGTGACAAACACCTCTGAGGATGTTCCTCAGCAGCAGCACGTTCTCGCTGCAGCCATTTCCCAAATCTAGTCATGGATTTGCGAACAGGAATTTCAGTTCTGTGGAAAGTAAGAATGCAGAGCTTTTTCGGCAGCTGTGCGGGTCACCTGCTGCAGCTGCCCAAAGCCCTCCAGACTCAGAGGATGATGGGCATCCAGTGGAAGGCGAGGAAGGCTGGGGGGGGCATGTTTTAACACCCTCCACACATGTGGACAGCCGACTCTGGCTAATTCTTTATCCCGTCCTCGGAGAGGCTGAGGCTCTGCTGGGATTCTTGAGCCAGTAGCAACATTCTCTTCAAATTATTGCCCTTTTTAATCTGTTTTAAATCTTGCATTGCAAATTTTAAGATGTTCTATATGTTTTAATAAGGTGCATTTTACACTGTATTTTAATATGCTGTTGTAAACCTCCCAGAGAGCTTTGGCTAATGGGCAGTATAGAAAATAAATGAGTAAGTAAATGAAGCAGGTGGCTGAGCTGCTTGGGAAGAGCCATGGACTGGGCCTCCTGGAGGAGTCAAAGGCCTCCCTTCCACCTCAGGGACCTACTGGAGGAAGGGGAGGAAGGGATGGAAGCCCGAGGGACTTGGAGAAGTTGCCCGTCCATCCTCCACCACTGCCATGGCTTCCTTCTCCCATCCTCCTGGAACGATTCAGCAGCAGTCCCACGGAAGCCATGGGGGTGGCAGGGTCTAGCCGATGAACCAGGAGAACCCCATTTGTTTCTGGGAAAGGCAGGGCTTGAGCTTCGGGAAGGTCAGTGCGGCATTGTCCTTCTCTGTCCAAATGATGGAATTGCCACCCTGGCAGCAGACTAACGTGGCCGCCCCCCTTGCGTGCTTTTCAGAGCCAGGATTTTGGTACTCCTCGGCCTCCTGTTTCAATGCCGACATCCTCCTCCTGCTCTCCTTCAACTACTGTGGAGAATCTAGCGGATGGTACTGAGAGCATCCTCTCCCTCAGATAAAAATCTCACCCGACATTGGATTCCGTTCATGTCTTGCTATGCTTGGAGTACAGAAAAACATGTTCATTGGAATTGGAAGCCAATTAAAAAGTTTGCATTAGCACATCTGTGTGAATTGTTTGTGTGTCATGTTTGAGACCCACCAGTGAAGTTTTCCTGTCTGATGTTTCCCCAAGAAAGCATGCAATGCTCAGAAAGGGTGTTTCCCTGGAAGTTCTGCCTAGGAACAAACGTTTGCCTGAGTGGCACTGAAAGTGTCAGAATCCAAGATTCCTCCAGACTCGTGTTAGCAGAATTTATTCTGGAACAACAAGGGGCAGGACGCCTTCTGCTAAATACTGGGACTGGGCCGGAAAATGGTGGGGAGGGGGAATCCACCGAAGATGCATCTGAGGGCAACTTGGGGGTGGTGCAGGGAGAGATTCCAACCTGGTGCTGCAGGGAAAGGGGGCGAGGTCCCTGGCTGCCTGCCCTTTTGCCCCCCCTGCTGGGGAAGTGCCAGTAGCTGGGCCTGGGTTTCGGGTGACTCGGCTGCCCTACCAGGCACCATGGGAGCGGGCTGCGCTGCGAGAGACGAGGCTGCGCAACCGCCACCTGGCCACCGCCCCGTCCCATTCCCATTCAGGCTCCACGGAAGCTTTCAGGTGATCGTTCGGGTTTTGCTCTGGTGACGAGCACCCCCTGCGCAGTGGGGGGGGGGGGAAGCAGGGCGAACCCCATTCCCTGCTCCCCTTCAAACAAGAGGGTCGCGGGTGCTCATTGCCAGGAGCGCCCCAGGCCGTTCCCAAGGCTGGGAACAGCTGCCAGGGCTTGTCCTTACGCAGGAGGTGCGAGAGAGATTCCCGGGGAACCTGCGGCGCGATGGATGTGCAAAGAGGGAGGCCCTGCGCCTCGCCCTCCAAAGGCAAGGCCTTCCCGCAGCGGCGCAGCAGGAACGGCTGCGGGAGAAGCGTCCCCAAAGCGCGCGGGGCGCGGCGCCGCCAGGGGGCGCCCTCGGCGCTCGGTGGGCCGAAGTGACCCGCCGCCCGCCCGCCCGCGCTCGCGGAGGAGGGGGAGGAGGCGCGCGCCTGCCCACCTTCCCTGCAATCTGGGGCAATGCGAAGCAGACAGAAACGGCGACGCGGGGAAGCGCCGGCTCCGGAAGCTGCCTCTTGCGCGGCGGGCAGACGCCATGTAGCCCCCGCCGCGCCGCGAGCTGGGGACGCGACGCCGCAGTAGAGGCAGAGAGAGCCGCCGCGGCGCGCCCTGCAGAGCCGAGCCGAGCCGAGCCGAGCCGGGCGGCGCAGCGCTCCGAGGGCCGCGTCTGGCCGGGCGAGGGTCTCCGTGCCGCCGGCGCGGCCGGATGGCGCTCCAGTGACCGCGCGCGGCAAGCGGACCGGCCGGGGCTGGCTGGACGTCGCCGCCATGGCGCTCGCCCCGCTGCGCCTGGGCTGGGGGTGCCTCCTGCTGGCCGCCTTGGCGGGCCCCCTGGAGGGGCAAGGGGGCGCCCGGCAGAAGGGGGGCGCCGCCTGCTACGGAGGCTTCGACCTGTACTTCATCTTGGACAAGTAAGTCCGGGGCGAGGCGCGGCGGCGCTGCCTGGAGAGGATGTGCGGGCGCTGGGGGCGCTTCCAGGCGCGGGAGGCGCGGGGCCGAGGCGGTCTCTGGGCGCGGGCGACCGCCGGAGAAGCCCCCGCTCCTTGCAGCCTTGCTTGGGGCGCAGGGGCTGCGCGTGCACGCAGACTCTCGCGGGCCCCTCCCGCAGGCCGAGAGAGAGCTCGGCGTGCGCCCGCGCTGGCTTCGTCGCGCGCCGCGTTGGACGCGCTCTTGCACGGGCAGCGGCTCTTAGCTTTGGGGTCCTGGCGCACGAAGCCCCTCTGCCTTTGCCCGGCGGAGGACAGCCTCCTCGTTGCGTGGCTTTGTTAAATGGGCCTTTCACGCTCCGAAGTAAGTTCTGATTTCGTCAGAGCTTTGGAAAGCGCATTGTTGCGAGTTTATTTTTAAAAGTCGGAATCGAGCTTTCTTTTCTTAACTCTCTGAGTCACTTTTTCTTTGTTCTCCATTAATGAAATGCACATTCCCCCCTTGCTGCCTCGCTGGCTAATGGCATCCAGAAAGGATAAGAAACGCTTGCTCATGCCGTTTCCCCCACAGCTGACTCGGTGCCACTCGCTTTGCATAAGAGGCCCCGGACCACATCGGGATTCGGGCCAGCTGCCCAAATGGGAAGCAGCCGGGCTGCTGGCAAACGCGCCGCGCGGGGCTGTCCCGCCACGGAGCCCCGCGGGCGAGTTCACCGGGGCCGCTTTGCGCATCCACCACGGGGGGAGGCGCGTCCCCCGGGGTTTCACTGGGCTTTCTTGCGAGGCAGGCCAGGACCCCCTCCGTATCGGGGGGGCAAAGGGGCTTGCGGGGAACCCTCCGTCTGGTCAGTGGTGCGGAGAGGGAAGGCTGCTGTTTGAAATGTGCAAGCCCTTGGCTCAAGCCCTTGTGTCGTCCACCCTAAAGCGCAGCTCCTAGGTTGGTTCTCAGCTTATTTTTACAGCCCCCTGGGGTCAGGGTGACCTTTCCCAGGTCAGGGTGCCTGGGAAAGGCTGCCGAGGCCGGGTGACCTCGCGACTTCACCGCTAGCCACGCAGGGGGCCAAGTCCTGGGATGCCTGGTCCACCCCCGATATTCCACCCTCTTGCCACCATGCGGGGACCGTCCTCATTTGGTCTTCTGTTTCACGCCAAAAATGCTTCTCAGACGTCACATGGGGTTTTGGCGAGCACTGAAGGCATTTCATGTGCATCCTGCCTGCAAGGAAGGGCTTTCAGACGTCCAAGGAAGTTGGCAGGGAGGCCCCCGGGAGCGCTGCAGCGGAATGCCCCAACATCGTCGCTCCCTTGGAGGGTGGCAGCAGGCGCCCCCCGCCCGGAGTGGGGACGCCTTGGCCAGCAGGAGCGGGCGTGCTGTGCCGGCCCTGCGAGGTGGAGCTTCCTTGGCCTGGCCTGGCCTGGCCTGGCCGGCCCTCGCCCAGCGCTCAGTTCTCCAAGGGGGCCTCAGGCAGAATGAGTTCTTGGCGCTCAGGCTGGGCTGGCAACCCTCTTCTTTGCTCCTTGAGGAAACAGGTGGTCTCGAGGAGAAAGTGGCTCCCATCCGTGGCCTCGGCCTCTCGACTGGACCGCTTTGATTATTTTGGGCTAATATTCCGCTCAGGGTTTCATGCCCGGCTTCAGGGCAGGGCAGGGCAAGCGCTGAATTGATGAACCTTGCAGATGGCTCACTTGACATGGCAATTTCCAAACAGAGTCAGGCCCACGGGTGCTCTGGACCAAGGAGACCGAGATGTGCAGAATAGATGCACTCCGTGGACTCATACAGGGCTGGGGGCTCCAAAATGCCACCAGCTTCCAGTGTCCCGTTTGGGGTTGTGAGGGGACTAGCAAGAGCTGCTCTGGAGGGGGTGCCTTAGGGGAAGGGAGCAGGAATTAAGTGCAGGCAGGCCTGTTTCCAGGGGGTGGGGAGCCCAGGTTTTCCAGGACCCCCCAAGATGCAGCACTCCCATTCTGACCGAGGGCTCAGTAGCGCAACCTGGATGCCGCTCAGACGAGGCATCTTGCCACCTGGCTCAAGAGGGCCTTTTCTGCCTGGCTGGAACTTTTCAAGGTCCCCGGCAGAGTTTCAGACTCTGAGCTCCTTTCCTTGGTATCTGGTCTTTTTTCCCATTGGAGAGAGCCAAGGATTGAACCTGGAGCTGTCAGCTTGTGCTCCAACATGGATCTATAACCCCATTACAGGCATTTCTCCAGGGAACCTCAAATCTTGGACTTGTCCAGCGAAGGCTGAGTCAAAACTCAGACCTGGGCCAGTGGATGGGGCAGATCCACACAACCAGATCAAGTGCAGCAGAGGTCAGAAGCAGGGCTGTCCGAGAACATGGCCTCAGATGAAACTGAACTGTGGTCGAGGGTGTAGCAAGACACATTCTCACTAGAAATATTGGGGAGGCTGGAGGGCGGGGCTACAGGTCACCCTGTAAGGGGTTATGATAGGTGGTGATGTCACCAAGAACCCCCCATTCCTGCTCTGTGGGTAGGAACAATGACTTGTGTAGTTGATCGTAAGGCAAATCAGCTTGTAACACAAAACTGTTGTATAGATGGAATAATAGTGGAAATATTTGGTAGACTTGTGGGAAGTAGGAGTCCATCCCTGGATGCACATGAAAACAGGTACACATTGGTTTGTCGGGTGGAGGTGAGCGAGGAAGGGGCAGCTGGCTGGCCCAGGGGTCAGTGAATGCCTCCTTGTGGGGGAGGGGTCTTGGGTCACCTGGAAGAGATATTGGTAACCCCCCTCCATAAGAGCCAGTGGGTTTGAAAACCATTCTCAGAATACCTTCGCGGATCAGGACACTGAGCGAGCGGCCGCGGGCTAGATCTGGACACGCCTGGGTGAGACTGACTTTCTGGCTCCACCTCAGGCATGGTTCAGGCCCTGTTTGGGTACTCGGACTGTGCTGGGTGTCCTATATGAGACCTGTGCCCAGAGAAAGAAGAGGTGTCCATCCTGGCCAAGAGCCAGGTGTGTTGACCCATCGCTTCTTGATCACCTGGCAGTCATAGAATCAGAATAGAAGAGTTGGAAGGGGCCATGAAGGCCATCAAGTCCAACCTCCTGCTGTTGCAGGACACTAGTTTAACACCACCCCGATCAGAGGGCTGCCCAGGTTCTTTTGAATGTCCCCAGTGTGGGGGAGCCCCCACCTCTCCAGGCAGCCGGTCCCACTGTCCTATTGCTCTGGCGGTGAGAAAACCTTTGTTGATACCTAGCCTGAACCTGGGTTGTTGCAACTTGACTTGACTATTCTGTGTCCTACATTCTGGCATCAGCAAGAAGAGATTCTGACCTTCCTCTTTGTGGCAGCTTTTGAGGTCCTTCTAGAGGGACACCATGTCCCCCCTCCGTCTTCTCTTCTCAAGCCTGAACATGCCCAGTTCTCTCAGTCCCTCCT